GGGGGTGACGGTGGGGGTGACGGTGGGGGTGAGTGCTGCTGCCTCCCCTGTGGGCACCTGCCGTCAGGGCCATGAATGAGACTGAGCACCTGCCCCACACACAGCACCACGGGTGTCCTCACTGCCACTGCACAGGTGAGGAAATCGAGGCCCAGGCCACCAACTGACTCACCCTTGGCTCCAGCACCACCAGGAAGTGTCAGAGCAGGGCCGACCCCGCGCCGTGGTCAGAGCTCATGACCTCTCCCTGTTAGGCTGGGCTGAGTGCACGTGTGTGGGGCTGTATGCCCAGGAGTATGCGCCACAGCTGACTTAAAACAGCACCTGGAAAGCAGGCACTCAGAGCAGTGGCTTGGCACCTTCCCAAACCTCACAGGCAGGAGGGCAGGGTGTCTCACACCGGGAATCCTAGCACTTTGGGAGGGCGAGGCAGGTGGATCTCTGGAGGCCAGGAGCTGGAGACCAGCCTGGCCAACATTGCAAGACCCCGTCTCTACAAAAAAGAAAATAAACAAACCCAACTTCCTAACTAGCACAGTTCAGGGACGTTACCGCATCACAGGTGAGGACGTGCATCGGGGCTGAGGTAAGGACATCCAGGCTGCCCAGAAGCAGCTGCTGAGGCCAGATCCTCAGTGTGCAGCACAGACCCTATGCCAAAGGGCCTTCCCTGAAGCAGCTGGTCACTGGAGCCAGCACGGAGGGAGCCTCCTCTCAGGCACTTCCTGCCCCACCACCCACTCTGCAGTGACAAGAGGGAGGAGGCCGGCCCAGGAGCCGAAGGACCCTGGGAGGAACGCCTGGGTGAAGCCCGGCTTCAGGACAGACTGCGGAGCCTCAGGCCTGCTCCCCACCAGGGCTGCTGGCTCTTCCCAGGCTGCACTTGTGTCCCTGCCCCGTGGTGGTAGAGAGGTGCTGCCCTGCAGGTGACAGGAGGTGTGGGCGTGTCACGCCTGCAGCAGACAGGGAGCCCACAGACGTCCCCTCCTGCCAGGACTGACCCGCAGCCTCGGCCGGCCTGAAGCCCCTTCAAGAAGCCTGCACAGACCCCAAGCGCCTCTAGGCTGGGACATGCCCCCAGTGGATCGTCGGTGGAAAAAGGCACACGTGTGTGTGTGACCACCAGTGCACAGAGGCCCGGCACAGGCAGAGGCAGGAGAGTGGGGCTGCGCCACCCCTGCCGGAATCTGGCTGCACAGACATCACGGTGAGGTTCTGCAAAGAACAGGGGTTTGACGAATCCGGCAACTTTTCTCTGCGCTAAAAGCATTTCAATTAGAATTATGACTGCCTGCCACCCGGCCCGCCGGCCCCTCCGCAGTTCCTCTTTTTAATGCACAGTTTAAGTGGCTCTCATTAAAGCTCTAACAAAGGCGCATATTTTAAGTGATTAGCACCAAGAAGGCTCCAGCACATTAATGCCCTCTCCATAGGCCCCACAACTCTCCTGGCGAGCCCATGTGGGGCACAGCTATTCATTTTCCATATTAACCGCACACCCTTCCACCATCCCAAAGATGGAGCACGACGCTTCCGCCAAGAGTCTGGGAGGGGCACCGAGGAACAGAGGGGGGTGGCGTCTCTTACCCCAGCACCGCCCCATCTTCCCAGCTGCCATCCAGAGGGGAGGCAGGATCCTGAGCCAGAGGCCATGTGGGACTCCAGGCGCTTCCAGGCAGCCGCAGCCATCTGACACATCCCACCTCCCTTCCTGACCCTCCTCTGGGTTCACGGCTAGGCTGGCTCCTAGAATTCTGGGAGTTGCTCTGTCCTGCTGAGGGTGACTAGGGTCTCGCTTGTCACCCAGGCTGCAGTGCAGTGGCTCAATCATGGCTCACTGCAGCCTTGACATCCTGGGCTCAAGTTGTCCTCCCGCCTCAGCCTCCTGAGTAGCTGAGACCCAACCCAGCCCAGGCACTGGGCCCTCTACACACCAAGATCCTCACTGGCTCCCCCTCCAAGCCCTGGCACTGGGCCCTCTGCACACCGACATCCTCACTGCCTCCCCCCATGAAAGGCCAGGCACTGGGCCCTCTGCACACCGACATCCTCACTGGCTCCCCGCCAG